CGCTTTAGATTGGGTGGAATTATCATCGCCCCCAAAATCTAAAAGCGTCTTTAATATTGAAAAGACCGAGAGGTCAAAAGAATATATTATGGTACAAAACAACAAAAATCTTTCTCGGAAAATAAATTACATCAATTCCGTCGCTCTTTTTAGAAGCTCCACTGAAATCTTCCAAGAGAGAACCCTCCTCAGCTACAAAAGTCAATCAAATTACGAATAAATATGTCTGTCCATTTTAATAATGAATAAATGATGAGTAGACCATACTTTGTGAACGATTTTGTTCTTCTTTAATTTCTGGAATTGGCATCCTTTCCAGAATCGCAGGCCGTATGTTTTCAAATTTAAACAAATTACTATACTCAATCGCACGTTGTTGTATCTCCACTTCAATGCTGGTGTTGTATTTTTCAAGAGTATTTTTAATATGTTGAATTACAGGCGCTGATGTAAAACGTGATGCCAGTTTCATAAGCGCGGTAAGAATGTATTCTCGAGTTAATTGGTTAGCATAGGGTCCGGCAAGTATAGAATCCATAAGATCAATGACATCTTGCTCTGTAACCTGAAATTTATTCTCGTTATAATGGCTTTTTTCTTGGTTTATAGTATAACACGGATCCTCCTTTTTACCTCTTTGACAAGTTCCTCTTCTTCAAAACTGCCACCTTTTATTAATATGTCACCATACTCTCCGATTACCCACACACCAGCCAACGTTAACGATTCCTGCGAAGTAATATTACTATAGTAATAGTTTAAAAACGTACGGTATATTTTATTTGAATATATACCTGAGAAATGTCTGCCTTTAATGCGGCATATAATTTTTGTGCCGTGTAAGCGTTTAATTCCGAAGTTTGGGCAACTAGCCGAATGAAATTTGATAATATTTCTTCGCGAACAAAGTTACCAGCCTATCCAAGATCAAATCTTAATAAATCAATGTCAAAAAAGAATTCATTTTTATTATGATGAGACCAACCAGTTTAAGGACGCGCAATACTGTGTCTATATGCCATCGTTTGTTGGGAGCAAATCTAAAAAAAAAAAAATTTTAACCTTTAAATTTCGGAATCAAGATAGTTGTACCTAAGTTAAGCATTGTTCAAAACTTTACCTGTCGGCAGCCAAACAGATTTTTGTCGTCATTCCTTGTTTAAATTCGTTGTCAGCAACCTCTAAAAATGCTAGCAGTTCACGTGTCAACACTCTAACATTGGACGCGTTAATTAATGCAAACGAAAGCTCCAGTGCACGTCGACGGATAGAAATATCTCCATCTCGTAGACAATCAAGAATAATATTTCTATGTCGTTGAACCGCATTAGTGTCTATTAACACCGTTTTATTTAGTGTAGTCAATGCAACATATCTGTAAGAATATTTGAATCAAATGAGATGTCAAGTAATAATAATGGTATATATAATTAGAAACTCCCTTCGATACCTAATATTGTTATCTCTGTTTGTTAAAAATTTTCCCAAAATGTTTATGGCCAGAACCCGAAGGCCGCTTTCAGATTGAATTTCCATGATAGTTTGCACAGTTTCATATAAGATTGAGTTCCCTACATTTTTGGAAGATTCAGTGTTCATGGCAACCTAAAGTATTCAAGTATCATTAAAATATGTTATGTAAACATATTAAGAAATGGTTTTCACTAACCTGTGCCAAAATGTCGTTCATCGCCTCACTTGCTTCAGCGTCACCTTTACCCAAAATTCGCAACAATCTCAATATTTTAACTTGTAAAAACGGATCAGTTACACCAGTTACATCGTGCTCAGGAGAGAATCCCGCCGAAACCAAACTTTTCAAATGTCTGACTAGTAATGGTACAGCCTGTAAATAAAATCGATAATTAAAAATGACGTTATTTGAAAAAACAAATAAAATGAATTTAAATGAACCTTGCGAAATGTTTCTAGCGTTTCCGAATTTATTAAACACATCTCGGTTATAAGGGTAATCGCTGTTAACAAAACTCCGTGATTTCGGTCACTCAAAAGCGATTTTGCTCTACTCAAAAAATTCTCTTGTAATTCCGGAACTTTTCGAATTATTCTCATTGCACATAATGCGGCCTTTTATAACATTGTTAATGTTAGGAAAAATCTTTTATAGTAAAGAGAATGAAAAGGTTAGCCGGTTAAACAAAGAAAATGTACTAACCTTCTTTCTTATATATGTATTAGAACTGCCCAAATTCTTTTCGACTTCTGTAAACAGATCTCCCGACATCTCGGGGGAAGAGATATTCCCCAAGGTACACAGTGCCAAACCAACAATATACATGTTGGAATGATTCATATCACTGATGTAAAATTCGCGTTAAAGATACAAAGCATCAAGATCACCGCATTTCAATAAACTTGAATTAGCGATAAAAGGATACTTTCTTAAACAATTCGTTACTAATGTCAAAACTTCTTGGTTTTCGTCTAGCAGGAGCATAATTCCCAGATATCCCAATCTTTTGTCCGCAAATCTATTTGAGGCTACTAATTTTAAACACTCAATCTGACCGAAATGAGCTGGATAACCCAGCATATGTATATAAAGTAATTTAGCTACATTGGAATGTCGTGAGTCGTTGTTTTCTTCTTTAAAAATAGTACGAATCGCTGCCGACTCTTTCTGGATGACAGCTCTTTCGTCGGCGGCAGTCTTGCACGCACGAATAGCCTTAATGAGATCTTTGAATAAAAAACAAGGTAAGATAATTGCAGGTAACGCCCATTCCTGTCATGCTGAATCTACCTTTGAGTCGATAATATGGCATATTCGCTCAAGTTCTTCTGCAATCAATGACTGCAGACTGTGGCTTAAGACAACATCTTACTACCATAAAAAAAAAAATTTTTTTGTTTCACGTAGCACGTGGCTCAATAATTTTTAGGATCGGAATTAATTCGCTCATTATATCTACGATAATCGCGTCGCGATACATATAAATGCCTAAATGCTACATTATTCATAGTAAAAATAATAAAAAATAATAAAAAATAATCAAAAAATTTTTTATCCATAATCAAGCCGGAATCACATGTTTATTAAATCATAGCAAACCATTACAAATATAATAGTTCCCACATTTTGTTCTATATTCATCTTGCCTATTAATCATTGTAATATTGATCCACAGATCTATTTGTAATAATAATAATACACAGTAAACCTGGATATAACGAAGTCTGGATATAATGAATACCTGGATATAATGAAGTATTTTTTTAAAAA